ATCCAGCGGCCCGGAGAGGGCCCCGCGCTCGATAGGGCCAGACATGAAGAAGGCCCTCTCTAGCGGGGCTGAGGGCGGCTCGCTGCCACGTGGCACCCGCTGCAAGGGCAAGGCGCTAAATGAGGAAGTGCTCTCAAATCCATCAAGCATAACATTAGTACCACCACCACCACCGGCGCCGCCCCTGGGTAGAAAACCCTTGCTGCTGCAAATAGCGGTATTGCTGCAATGATTGGGCGGCGCATCGGGGGCATCGGTGCAAATATCGTCAAGTTGGAGGACGGTTATGGGAGTGGAAGAGTTGGCACTAACGGAGGCGCCGGAAATAGCGCGGAAACCGGTCTCCGGTTTGGAGGGCTTGGGATCGTCGAAGCGGAGTGACTGAGAAGGAGAGAGAAAGCGATCGGAGTGAGTAGGGGAGATGAATCGTGCGGAGGAGCGGACGTAGCAGAAGGAGTGGCCGAGGGTTTCGTCCAGCGGTACGTTCGAAGTGAAAATCACGTCCGGCTCAGACCGGTTCGGACCGCCGGCCGGATTGAAACAGGGAAACACATGCGAAAACCCCGCCCCCATCACATCCGCCGATTCATCCCCAACCCCCAAACCCCAAAGCAACAAAACAATAAAACCCCAAATCCAAAACCAAAAATCAATAAATTCAAAAAAAAAAAATTTGAGCTAAGAACACCGAAGCAGAGAAGTTCAACCACTGATTCAGCTTCTGTTGAACCACCGTGCTGAATGTGTGTAGTGTGTGTGTGTGTGTGTTTTGAATTAAAAAAAAAAAAAGAAAAAGAAAATGGGAAATGGGGCAGAGGAGAAAGAAGGTAGAAGTAGAAGTTGTAGTAGTCGTAGTTGTAGTAGGTGTTTTCTTTCGTTTATCGAGAGAGGGAGGAGAGAGGAGAGAGAGAGAGAGTCAGAGAGCTGAGACTACAGTTTTTACTTTCTAGAGAGAGAGTAGAGAGAGAGAGAGGCAGTGGGTTCTAATCCCATGTTTTTCTTCCTGCAACAAAACTTTTTTAACTTTAAAATTAAACTTATTTATTCTAAATTTCAAACTTAGGGTCAAAGTGTTTGTTGCTGTATACTTAAAAAAAAGGCAATTATTGAATGGTGTAATAAAAAAATAATAAAAATATGAAGGGTAAAATGGTCCGAAAAGTA